GGTCTGGACTAAGGAACCAGGATTTGAAGAACGCCACTAGGTACAAGTTTGAGGCGGAACTTGATTATACAAGGTTTAGGCGAGAGTTGCGACTTGTTGAAGAGGAGATGAAGTTGGCTCAACAAGGAGTGAAATCTTCAGGTTCCTTTTCCAGGGATATGACTTCCACTTCTACTTCTTTTCCTTCTGTTTCTTCTGACTGGTCCAAAGTGCAGGATGTAAGACAGTGTAGCACCTCTGTTGAATCCAAAATTTTACAGGAGTTACAGGATGTTACAGCTCAGTTTGAAGACTTTGAACAGCAGAGTCACTCGCATCGAAAGAGACCTTGATGATGTCAAGAAGAATAGGTTTAGGTCAGATGGGAACAGATGGCGAGGTAGAAGTAATGACATCCGAATTCAAGAGACAGAGCCGAAACCATCTCCAAGTTCTAACTCTACTACTCCATTCAAGACAGATAAGCCTTTAAACCAGCAGGCTCCTCCACCAAAGGGCCAGTAGGAGGACCGCCCAGTCAGAGAGGCCCACCAAGTATCCCTTTGGTTGGACATTCCAATGAAACAGATGTTCTTGTTAATGGATGCCCTGCTACAGCACTTTTAGACTCTGGTTCTATGGTCACAACTCTTGCTCATTCTTACTTTTCATCTTTGGATCCTTGTCCAGAGCTGTTGAGTATTTCTGATTTCTGTGTCAAAGGAGCAAATGATTCATCAAATGAACATCGATGCAAGTACTTCCGGTTTAGGAGCGATCCTCTATCAGGAGCAGGACGGTCAAGAACGCGTAATCGCCTACGCCAGCAGAGGGTTACGTATTAATGAGCGAAATTATCCTGCTCATAAGTTAGAGTTTCTTGCGTTGAAATGGGCTGTTGTTGACAAATTTAACGATTATTTGTATGGTAACTCCTTCAAAGTTCGTACAGATAACAACCCATTAACGTATGTGCTCTCTTCCGCCAAACTAGATGCAACTTCACATAGATGGTTAGCTGCGTTAGCATCTTTCAACTTCACCTTACAGTATCGTGCTGGACGTTCAAACATAGATGCAGACTTTCTTTCAAGAGTTCCTAATTCATCTGAAACTGTGGTTTTCAATGACGCTGTCAAGGCTATTATACAAGGTTGTATGTATATTAAGGAATCACCTGTTGTTGAATGTATTTCTATGAGTCAGAAAGTTGTTGACATAACTACTGATGTTTCATCAGACTACCTTAGTGATGTTGATTGGAAGCTGGAACAGACAAAAGATCCTACAATTTCAAGGTTTATACAGATCTTTTCTACTGGTCATAAACCAACTAGAAGACTTTCTTCACGGGAAACTGAATCTGTTCGTCAATACCTTCGAGAGTGGCCCAGTCTTTTTATCAAGGATGGTATACTTTATCGTCATGGTCAGGTATGTAATCATCCCGTAGATCAGCTTGTTCTGCCAGACTCATTTAAGGATATGGTTTTCACTGGTCTCCATGACAATGCCGGACATCAGGGTATTGACAGAACCAATTCCCTCATCAAATCTCGTTTCTTTTGGCCAGGTTTGGATGGTTTTGTTGAAACTCGAGTACGGAAGTGTCCTCGTTGTATTCGGCGGAAAACACCTTTGTCAACTTCTGCAGGACTTATTCCAATCCATTCTTCTTATCCTCTAGAGCTTGTCTGCATGGACTTTTTGACCTTAGAGATGTCAGCAGGTGGATATGAGAACGTGTTAGTAATCACTGATCACTTTACCCATTATGCACAAGCCATACCGACTAGGAACCAAACGGCACGCACCACGGCGAAAGCACTTTTTGATAATTTCATTTGTCATTATGGTTTCCCCAGTCGCCTACATAGTGATCAAGGCAGGAATTTTGATGGAGCAGTCATTAAGGAGTTATGTCAGCTTGCTAACATCGCTAAGTCTAGGACTACGCCTTATCATCCCCAGGGTAACGGAATGCCTGAAAGGTTCAACCAGACACTTCTGAATATGCTAGGTACTTTGGAGGATAAGAAAAAGCTGAATTGGAAAGCTCATGTACCAGCTCTTGTACATGCATACAACTCAACTCGGCATGAGACGACAGGTCTGACACCACATTTTCTTATGTTTGGACGCCATCCTCGCCTTGCATTAGACGCTTTCCTCGGGATCGACCCAGACATTTCTTTGCACACCAAGAAGCCAGCTGAATTTGTTGAAGGCTTAAGGAAGCGCTTGAATTTCGCTTACAGAGTTGCTAGTCGTGAGGCGAGACGTCAAGCAAAGCGGCATAAGAAGCGCTACAATCTTCGTGTTCGGGAAGTACGCCTTGTTCCAGGTGACCGTGTATTGGTGAGAAACGTTGGTTTAAAAGGCAAGTGTAAGTTAGCTGATCGTTGGAGTAAAACTATCTACATTGTAGTTGATCAGCCTAACCTAGATTTACCTATATTTCAGGTTAAGCCGGAAGATAGTGATGATGCACCAAAGTTACTTCACCGTAATATGCTACTTCCGTTCATGGGTCTCCCGCTACAGGAACCGAAACGAATGTCACCTCATTCTCCCAGTAATGGCAATTTTCAGCGAAATTCTCCTGTCAATTCTCTTTCCTTTTCAGACACAGCAGCACCTAAACCTTCTGAGTCTTCGAGTACTTCCATTAAAACCTCTATTTCAGACAATCCATCAGTCGTATCCGCGGAATCTGATAAGTATGTAATTCCTGCAAGACGTACAGGTAATAGTTTGTTAAGACCGGAAGCTCCACCTTTTCTTCCACGAAGAACTTCTAGAGTAAGAGAGAAGCCACGCTGGATGACTGATGATTGGAATTTGAGTAGGAAACGGTAGTACAGATTCTCAGACAGATGTCAAATTTGATTTTGTCATTTTTTGTAAATTGTTTTATAAAAGATGAGAACAATAAATTGTTTCAGTTGAGTTTTGTATATTAATCTTTATTTCAAATTGTCAGTGTTGGTTTACTGATGTTTGAGATTAGTGTTTATTCATATGTGTTATCATATGAGTGTAGGGTTTCGTCATATATATTTGTAAGTATGGTTTGTATTTAACCGATTTGTAAAATTTCTACAAAGAGATTTGACAAATTTTATTTACTCTGAAAGAGTTACTTTGAATATTGTGTAATGTGAAAACATAACACAAGTTCTACAGTTTTGTAGATGAGTCAGTGTACTAACGTGCATGGTTCACAATCCCCAAAGAACGCGTTCACCATTCCCAACAGTGCTTCGGGCACTTTTCTGGTTGTTAATGCCTTACAGCATTTTCAAGCAGTATACATTACCTTTATGGGTAATTTCACTGTTAGGACAGAAGTACTTTAACGAGTCCCATGTCCTTAGTATAAGTTCTACTGTAGTTAGACAGTATGGTTTTTGATATATATGCAGGTATCAGTAATTTTTGTTTATGAGTTGAAAATGTCGGGACGCCATTTTATCCTTGGCGGGGAAGTATGTCACAGGGTCATTTTGTCTTTGCTAGAATACTCTGTAATTCATACCCATACTCTATATCATTCCCCTATCGTCTCTTTTTCAATCATTCATATCATTATTCAACTTCATACTAATAACTTCATTTGACCTGTAACACGTTGACGGGCCTCATTCACTTCATTTTTGAATTCGGTCACGCTAACCTTTACGCATGCGCACAAGAAATGAGAACTTTTAGCGAGAGCTGTTGTTTTTTTCATTGACTCCGTATTCTATTTTATTGTGTGCCAACAATATATTTACAGGTATATTTGAGGTTATAAAACATTGTAAACATGAATTACTATGATATGTGTATGTATTTCGCTTGGAATTATCAATAGCACAAGAAATGAGAACTTTTAGCGAGAGCTGTTGTTTTTTTCATTGACTCCGTATTCTATTTTATTGTGTGCCAACAATATATTTACAGGTTCCTCTTTGAACGCCCTATCCTCCCGAGTGAGAACTCACGTATATCCGTGACACTAGTATCCGAGGAGTATGTTAAAAACTCACAAGTGTACTTGTTTAGTGACCTTCGTTCCTGAAAATAAAATTGTAAATAGGTGTATTTCATTATGTAAGCTCCATACAACTGGTGTCATACCATTATTGAAACATATCGCATCATTTTCTTTCTATTTTTATCGAATATGAGCAATTACCAACTAACTGCATGCCATCAAAATAAGAAGCCTAAATACGAGCCGTTCCCGAACACAAGGCTATAGATATAGAGGATTTTGTGTGTTAATGTTATTCTTTTTCATGGAGTGTACACAAAAATTGTATTGTCTCGATTGGCATAGTCACATAGTCTAATATCACTGCTATATCTGCTACCTTATATTACTCAATATCACAAACATCTGTTTCCCAATATGACACAGCTGCACATTTACTTCATTTCTGCAACCATATATTACAACACATCTGCAACCAAATATCACTTCACCTTTGCCCTCTAATACCATTATACATGTATATCTACAACCCAATATCCCATCTGTCTGCCACCCAATATTACTACACATCTACATTCCATATCACTTATTATGTACACCGATATCACTATCAGTCATTCATAGACATTTTTATCTCCCTTATATCACAATGTGTCTACAGCGCAATAAGACAACATGTAACATATTATATCTGTAGACCAATTTAAACACAACAAAAGTTTCAGGTATCGATCTTATTGTTGAAATTCAAAAAGTAAGTAAAGGTCGGCTTTTCAAACTTATAAGAACTCATTGAATACAATATTAAACGATTTTAAATTTGTCTGTTTATGACATACGATGAATGAAAATTTTGCAAGATTAATAATTAACAAATTAGCACCAACGATATGGAGTTTGACCAACTTTTTCACACATCATTTGATATAATCATTCTATTACAAACATTAAAATAATATACTTTTTGGTATTTGATTCATTACATAGACCTTGTTTTATACGAAACAGAAAGGTTTCTATAATTGAAACAATATGCCACATACCTGGTGTATCTTTGCCTTTAATTTTGTATTTATTCTTTGGAACGGTTTCCAAGTTCTCGTAAGATTCCCTGCAGAAGTATGAATATCAAAAAGAAGCATATTCATCATGGTTCGTTCATTAGGAGAAAAACACAAACAAGTTTTTTTTACATTTTTTAAATTAAGTTTTGAATATTTATAATAATGCATCTGTCATAAGATAAAGATTTTGGCCCCTGATGAGTCTTAAATAAAGACTTTTCTGTTTTCTATTTTAAAACATATAAGTAATATTTAAATTATGACGAAACTCTACTTACAAAATGTATCCGTTATTTTCGACCGATCCTGAAGTTTAAGAAACATATAATAACACGCTGTTTGATAGTCTGTGCTTTTTTATAATGACTGAATCGATAACGGAATGCTATACATGTATATTTAATTCAAGTACTGTAGTCTGTGTCTGTTATGACAACCAGATAAATTTCAAGAGACTGCTTTTTAATAACTTAAAAGCTGAATTTAAATAACAACTTCATTTTGTATGCAAACGGATCATTTCGATACCTTGTTTATTCTTTTGCCTTCTTCGTCGTACCACTAGAATGACAAAAGTCGCAATAATGGCCAGTAAAATGCTTGAAATGCCACACGATACACCAACATAGATTAACACATCTGTAAAATGCAACATATTTATAAAATAGGAACATCTGATATAAATCTAAGATGCTGAAAAAAGTTGCTTTAAAAAAAATTATGGTAGTTCTTATATATGGGCCTTATCTCTAAAGTTATATGTTATTAATATCATTTGGAAATACGGAAAATCCACATTTAAAATTTAACTAAAAGTTTGGTATTCATAGATTATTTCAGAGAAAAAAGGTTAATTTACTTACAATTTGTTGTTTTGCATAAATCATCTAGACTGGTAAAATCAATAGCTACATCAATGTACCGAGTCTCTTCCAACAATGCGAAGTTAGTAGCGGTGATTGAAATGAAAAAGTTTTTATTTGAATGATCTTTCACTTTTTTGTCACACAATTTTAATGCGTTAACTGGCAGGGTGTAGCTAAATGATTCACATTGTTTACCATCGAAACAGTCACACGTTGACTTACCATTATGGCAAGACTGCATTAAATAAAACATTGAAGTCTGTATATATCAGAAAGAATTTTTCAAAGTAGGTGTGTAGAATATCAAAGGTATGCTTAAGATATTCTTGTATGTTAAGACTTTCTTAAAATAAAAACAAAAAATGTCATTACTTATACTTAAGTTAACTTATTATATTATGTTAAGTGTACTCATAAGATGAATAAGAAAACAATAAATGAAATAAATAGGCATAAAATGGTTAAGATGAGACTTGTGTCGAGAAGAAAAACAACAACAACAACAACAAACAAACAAACAACTTACCTGTAAGTGATTATCGGTATTAACCTTTATGTCACCTGTTGCTATGTTTATGCCTGAATTTTTGATTCCAAATACCCAAACAATACTGTGTATTCCACTATGACGATCTAGCGCTATGAATTTTATATTATATGAAGACGTTGGCAATTCAATCGATTCGATTTTGCCAAGTTTGGATGATATATTCATAAGTTCAAGTTCCGGTTTAGATTGATCTATATGGACAGTTGAGTTTTCTTCTTTAACATTACCAGCAATATCAACAGCTTGTACCATGATTTTCAAAATATCGCCATCATTATTACTGATATTTTTACAAAAAGACTGCTCTTGTATATTTGTAACTTCAGTTTCTTCATTTTGTTTACCGTTAACAAACACTGTCACTGAAAACATGATTATACCGTTCACATTTAAAGTACCATCAACCGAAAGTAATCCGAACTTGTGCTCATATACACCCGAAAATAATCTGTTTTGCTCTGGCTTTATAGGGCCGAGTAAATTATCATTTATATAGAATCTGTTAATGAAATGATCTTTCCATGTCATACAAATGGTATCACGTGTTTGCCATACATAATTTGTAAGATACGATGCTGATTCAACAATGATTGGTTTGTCGTCTCTTGTTTCAATAAATGATGTATCATCATATAGCATGAACCTTCTTGCTTGTTGAACGTTGCCTGCAAAATCTTTGACCTCAAGTTTCACTTCATACAATGTTGGTTTATCAGGTTTAAGATACAAAGATGTATCTGTGTGCGAAAAGTTTATTACTTTCATATACATAGTAGAATAGTCAAGTTGCAACCGTCCTTTCTTCGATATTACCTGATGAACACTAATTGTATAATCCTGTATTGTGGAGGCATGCTTTGCAGATCCATTTAAAGGAATTGGATCAGTCCATCCCACAAATGATACGCGGTTTATCGGAGTCCGCGTTACAGGATGAAGGATATTTAAAGGCTCTGTATTGCAAGATCCAATAGCTCTACAATGTCTAGGGGGTGTATGATCAAACGTGTAACATAATGAGCGTTTAATACTGACCTTTTGGTACTGGACATACGGATTCACCTTTTGGGTTATGAGATTTATACCCTCTAAATACCCTCCTCCGAAAGCCTCAAACTCAATACAAAGTCTACAAAATTAAACAAACAACCATTACAACCCGATACCAGATGTTCAAGTTGATGATAGTATATCTTTTTTAAGAATTTATATTATTTATGAACTATAAAAAGGTAATAAAACAAGAAAAAAAATGTAGAAGACGAAACTAAACATGTTTGCATCAAAATTTACTACTTATATTTCAGACATTGTTATCAAAATTTGTCTGTGCAGCTATGTATGGTAAACAGCTGGATTGTGAGCTATGTTGCAAGATTACTTACGACTCGCCTTCCGCGACACTAGACAATGCCTGATCTATCTGAATGCTTCCATTGTCCTGCCTCACGTTATTTATAGTTTTGTTCAGTGTCGCATCTCCAAATTGTTGATGGCTAATTCTTGTTGTTAAACCTGGTTTATTATTAACACAGACTATTATGCTAGAAAGTTTTATAGTATCTTATGGAAGGCAATCTTTAAACAAAACTGTTTCATCTTATTTGAATTCTTTATCTATGATATCGAAAAATATCCACTTAAGTGTGGAAATCCAAATAAATCACTTTGAATTTATAATCAAAGTCAGTATTTATAGCTTCTATGTTGCCAATGCCAATTTTTATGAATATCAATTTGATTAAGATATATTAAAATGTATTTAACGGACGTACTGAATACTAAACATGTGTCTTAAATTCCAAGCATATTTTAAAGTTTATGATGATTTTAGGTTTTAAATACAGAAGTATGACAAAACAGTAAGGCTTCTTTAAACTCACCATTTGCTGCATTTTTATTGACATTAATTGTAATGTCTGTCACTCCAAATTTATAGTTTCTGATGTAACTAGGCTGGTTATAGCCAGAAATGAGAATCTTAAATTCTGTTTTCAATTCGTATTGAAGTAATGATAATTGGAAATTGCCGTATGTATCTTCAATTGAACTGCAATTTTGGATGCCATCTTTGTTGGTGTTTGCTCGCTTGCTTTGACCATGAGTTCCAATGAATATTGTATTGCATAACAGGAAAGAAGGTAATTTAGTAGGATGACATGTCGTCTCCGTAGATGTCTGAATTCTTTTAAAATCAGGTGCACATATACATCCACTTGTGAGATCGTTAGAGCAAGAACCGGGCCAACAGTAATGGTTGTTCCAAGCACACATTCCTTGAAACGAAAAACACCAATGATGTTTGTACAATTAATTGCTGGTTGCACAATACATTAAAATGGCACTGTCAATTGGAAGTATATTTATAATGTTTCATTACTATACTTTTAGATATTTTCGTCTCAAAAAGGTTACTGTAAATATTTCTATTGAATAATAAGAGCGAAGTAATAGATTAGTTTTTTATGCATTAAACAGTTCATATTCTAAAAGAGGACTAATAGCAAAATATGCAAATCAATTACTATATCTCATTGTCTTCAAATTTCGAAATATAAATTTGAAAGAAAGAATGATCCTTTCAATAAAATTATTGTTTTTCAACTTGGAGGCCATTTCAAACGAACGCTTTAAAATGATATTTCTCTCTTTGCAGGCTTATAGTTTAAACGAGTTTACCAATAAAATGATATTTTTTAGTTTTAAGAGCGCATATGTAAAATTGATAAAGATGATTGATTTCAATAATAGCACTTTTATTTTATCACTTTGCAGGCCTAGATCACAATTGAACGATCTAACCAATTAAATCAAGGATCCACATTAATTTTACAATAAAGCATTTTATCTAAATATAATTACTGTTCACTTTATAGGCCTGCATTTAAAAAAGAAGAAATGTAAATGAAAGCATTCAGACAAATTTCGTTGACAATATTTTCTTGCTTATTTTTCGCATGTCTTTCCTAAGAGAAGCAAGAGTATTGAATCAGCTTGGTCTAAAGAAATCAGTCTATGAACAAAACCAATGCTAGGATAAAACACCTTTTGCTTACAATATAGCTCCTGTAGAAAAAAACAACAAAATACTGACTTGCATTTTGAACTACTTACTTTCACATTTGGTATCCGAATGCGTTCTTTTGAATAATTTTAGATCATCAATACATTCTCTACACCTTGTGTTTGAAGAAGAGGAACAATATCTTTGTTTGCAGTTTGCAATTGTTGGACATACTGGAAGTTAAATACACTTGTATAAAACCTAAATTAGATAAAGAAACGATTCCCAATAAAGTAAGACATTTGAGCTCTCTAAGATTTTATTTGTTCGTTTGTTTGAACGTATTTTTGACTCAAATGTATCTAAATTTAATGCCAACATATTATTATTAGTACGTAAATGTTGGATATTTTGATAGTTTTTGTGAATTTGTTCAATTGAAGTCAAAATTAAAGACAATATATATACAAACACTTGTTTCTTTTTATATTTCCTAAAACATACATCTGTTCAACATATTTCAAACAAAATCAAAACCACTGAATTGTTAAACAATCATGTTAACACAACGTTAGAATATATCTCATGTGAAAATTAAAAATACTTAGACATTGAGTTTTGCTACAATATTGTATCATACAGAAATCACAATGTCCCGTACTTCACATATAATTGTCCCGCATGTTACTTACACAAATGAATGTTTCATATAATCATTTTGTCTAATAAACATTTGTAGGTCAGACTTCCATGATTTGATCTAATGCTTACCTTTTCGATAAGACCAAAAAAACATTATCCTAGACAGTAAATAAACTTGAGTACACAATTTGTAAACATTCTCATGTAATAAAGTTTGATATTTTATTTTATTCACATGATATATATTAAACATAGCAAGAGAACAAGAACTATTTTCACAAAACTTTTGGTAAACAACACTATTAAACATTCTGTTTGCTAAACTGTAACACATAACAAAAGTTTTCAAACATTATAATTTTTTGTCCCGTACCTTAAATAAAACTATTCTTACGAACAAAAGTATAATTTTACTGTATTTCAGCCGTTGAATTAAAAAAAATGAAATAATCATTGCAAACAACTTAGGACGAAACAGAAACTTTAAACATGGGCAATCACATATATTTGCCTGACAACCATGACATTGTCCCGTATGTTATAATTTCACGATACATTTATCTGGCTAAGTTTCAATGTTCAGAAAACTAATCTTTTTAATTTTCTAACATGTTAAATACATAATCTGGGAAAGTAAACATTCGACCGGTCGTGCACGTTGGTAATGGCTCCTCTACCACACGCAGGATCTCATCATACTCTATATAATCAACATCGTCACTTAACGGCCGCTTAAATTTTCCTTTTACCTTTTTTCACATTGTCGTATGAAGCTAACAAGAGCTGACTTGTCGTTGTCGTTGATTTCAATTTCTTTGTTTCCAACTGAAACTTCCGGACATTCAGGCAAATTACTTGTTTCGTTTGTGTCTGAGACACTTGGGGTCTCATTTTTATTATGGATCTTCACTTTGACTGTTTGTATCTCATTTATTCCAGAATCTTCTTGAACTTTTTTTTTATTTTTGAAGATCTGTCATCTTGCTTTACTGACCTATATGTAATAGCATTAACTTCCCAACCACATTTAGAATGTACATTAAATTTGGTTATAAAGCAATCATTACAAGCACACGTTGTGTTTCTAACAGCTATTTGTCCATCTTTAGTAACCACGACAGAATGAAACACCTTTTACTGATTGAATTTCATTGTTTCTTTTTTCAGTTATCTCTTTCTTTGTTTCATACTCTTCCTCTGTTACAAGTTTATATTTAATACCTATCTCGTTCAATGTAGCCCATGAATAAAAGTCAGAGGCATCTTGTATAATTTTAACATGCTTTAAAGCATTATCCGCATTTCTCTTCGTGGTCTCTCCAATACTGTCACAGGGTATATTGCCACGCCCACTTTCAAAGTATTGCCATGAGGCAAAGGTACCATAAAGCTTTGGAAACCTGCTCACCATATCAAATATTATTTTATTTTTATATTGAGAGGAGGGTGAGTCTGTCCAAAAATGGGCATATTCTAAATCAGGTACCAAAGTCTTTGTGACCTTCATCAGCTTGTCGATTATAGATATTACCATTGACGCATTATGATTGAGAACCTCTGAGACATAAACGTAACTTTCACGTTTTAATTCACTACCTCCTCCTCAAAAGTAAATGACCGCTGGATGCAAGGTTACCTTTGAGCTATTCCAGTAAGCTGATTGAATCTCCTCGAGAGTATTACATGCATAATACTCACTGGAATCCATTTGGATGAGAACATGATTATTATGCAATTTATCTTTCATGACTTTGATTGCATTGTATTGTCTTTTACTCGATGTGTATGTGATTCGAATTCTTTGAATGCTTCTGGCATCCTTTCAATGAAGTCGGTCTTTGACAAACTCACTTCAGCAACTCTTTGCCTTTCTTTTCCGTTCTTAAGTTTTACTGCTGGTAATTTTTCATCTTCGTTGTCTGGAATATTCTGCAACTTCTTGTTTAACAAAACAGGTTTATGGCTGGCTGTACATTTCAACAAACTTATCTGGGTTTGTACAACAATTGAGACATTTGAGAGCACGAATCAGAAAAGTTCACTAACGAAATGTGCTTTGGTCTGGCGTTATAGAAGAATGTTTTTGCTACTCTGGATCCATTTTCAGCAACAAATTTCAGATGTAAGTTATACAAGTAGCCGTTCAGTACTCTATTCTGAATTTTAACCTTTCTACTTTCAACTTTCGTACCGTCTTTCTTAACACTTAATATTCTGGAATTGTCATCTCGCTCTCAGAACGAGGCAATGTTTTCTATCACGCGCATTTTATGTACACTCCTCATTCTTGACCTTTTATTCACTGCTATATTTTGAGTGGTACTTGACTTCCTCCTACCAAGGCTAGTAGATTTTTCTAGCTGAGCTTTCATTCTGTATTTCTTAATGATCTTTCTTGGATGCTATTCTGTGCACAATATCTTTCAAACTCTGTCTATTGTCGATCTTGGCCTGTTTTATTTCGTGACGGAAACGTTCACTTAAGACCAACCTCTTTTTTTATTTCAGGCACATCGTTTGCTTTCAATCCATACTCTTTCAATAATTTATCACTTTTACTCCTCGATGTCTGAGCATTTTAAATTTCTTCTTTAATTCTTTATTTTAATCTTCAAGAGGATTTAGCTAATGCTCTTGAAACTCTTTTCTTGTGTTTACTAGAATTTGTTGATGGAAATGGCAGCTTTACAGTAAGAGCCATATCACTGGTACTGGACACAACATTTTCACTCTTTGGAGGCACGTGCTCATCGGATTCTTCATGTTCATTATGATATTGTATTTCTCCTTGGTTATTTCTCCTCTTTCCCCTGAATCGTGCCTGTCTGATTCTATTTAACTTTCTCACATGCTCCCTATTCTTTGAATCCATTTCAGAGATAGGTACTCGAGACCTCTTGACTCTTTCTCTTTCTGCCTTCAACCACTGTCCACCAGGAAGCACTTTCTTTCTCTCCCTGTACTCCCGCATCCTTTGTGCTTTAGATTTTGCCATCCTGAAACGCATATAAAAATCAGTCTACAAAACTACCTCTCATAAATGTAATGTACGGGACAATGACTTCATAACGTACGGGGCGACTTTACATTATGGCAGATCATGTATATTAACATTTTCTATTGTCATTAAAAACATACTAATAAAAGGATTGTATATATGGAAATGGACGTTTCCATCACAATCTTTTGTACATGTGTTGATCATAGAAAAATTATAAAATATAGTAAACCCGAGAGAAATTGATGTTTTTAAACTCTTTTGCATATTTTTTCAAAATAAGGACATATACGGGAAAAATCATGTAACAAACGAGCCTATACATGTTGAGTAATTACACAAATGTTGCATGAAACATTACATGTATTATGGTGCTGTGCAGCGTAAACAACCTTCCTGCATTCACAACTATAACTTTAATATTTCCTTTTGTCACAATAATGAAAATTTTACTTACCTTCTAAGTGCGTTGAAAGTAAAACTTCAGTGTGTCACATTTTTGTTATTATGGCGGTCGTTTACTTTCAGAACATCCGGGCAACTAGTTTGGAGTAAAATGAATCTAAAGACGAATAAAACACAATAGAAACACAATGTTTTCAGTATTCTGAAGAACATTTGATCCCGAACGATATACCTCATACGTTATTTATCAACTTAATTTTTAGATTTACTCGTTTATTTTACTGTGATTTTTATATCCTTATTACTTGAGATTACTACAATTTGTTAAACTATTACCATACTGTTCTTAATTTATATATGGCACTTAGATAGCTATACATACCGGATGGACTCGTTTGTTCAAAGAATCGTCCTGTACGTTATCGCTCCAAAATCACGGTCATACGTTCAATATTGTCGAATGGGTTTGGAAAAAGTATTAAAAATTTTAGAATCCTTATCATTGTGGACATAAAGTTAGCATTACTAGATCAAATGGTTAAAACAAACCCGTTTTAAGTGATTTCATACTTCAAAAAAGAAACACCAAGAAATATTGTCCCTTTCGTTTATTAATTTCGGCGACAAAAACTATACAATAGTATATTTATTTACATTCTATGGGTAGTGAAGGAAAATGTTTAATATTAGTAAGATGCCACATGTGCCTATTAAAACTTAAATTTTATACGTGAATTAAACCAATAATGTATTTTTATTTTCATGTTAAATAACGATGCATGGTGCTGACGACATGGTGATTTTTAAATCCCAATCAAGATAAAGAGTATTTCATCATATAAAACAGTTCGATGTGTCACTAAACTTGTATGAATGATTTACTGTTATGGTCATCCTTGTAAAAAATACATAGAATTTTATGATAGTTCATTACAGTGTCCAAATATATCCAGCCAGACAGTAGCGACATTACATGTCGTACGTAACTTAATGTTGATGAAAATTAATTTGATATTTGTAATTTGAATTATGAGGCATGATCATTTTGTCACATTTTACAATATGAAAATCACGTTATTTTAGCCAGTTTCTAGTGCACATACATGAATGTATACTTGTCGAAATATTTCACCGTATCGTTAATTGCATTGCTATTTAATTCATTAAAATAAATTTAATGCGCGTAACATATAGATTTAGTTTTAAATGGCTATACATTATTTTTTAATTTCATATTTCGGAACATATACTTATTATTTAGGGAAGTATATCAATTTACTAATTCAACAATTAGCCAATTTAAAATGCAATAACACATGTCTCGATAGGTCATGGATGCCACCACATTCCGCTGTATTGTCACAAGATATCCCAAACAGCTACAAGTGTATAAATTCACACTTAGAAAATCTCATTACTCTAGCAATTATGTTGAAGTTGCACACGACGAATGACAAAAATTATAGTTTTTGCTTATTAAAGGAATATTTAATGGGGAGAAAAAAGGAATCCCTAAAGAACGTTCAAAATGGCAAAATCAAAAAAGTTACAGGCTCGGTTTGACTGTGTCTGTTCATGGACGATACTGGTAAATGAAAGGTATTGATCTTAATACATTTGCGTCATAAATAACAAGGAATGTACGTTTACACGTTGGTTACTGCTATTCAAAAGTTTAATAGCTCGTTTAATTTTAAATGGCCAAGCGATACAAACCAGTTAACTTTTGGATAGCGGTACGGACGGATAGCAAAATTACCCTATCGCAAAGTGGTGCATGCATAAAAATACTATTAGTGATGGAATAAAAATACGTTTGGAAAAGTACTCAATAATAACCTTTACATGCATAACTATATCTGGATGACTGGGTAATGTATCCTGTAGAATAATAAGCGTCATTGCATCTCGTGCATTTTATACCATCTGGTGATCCTCCGCAACTTTGATGACCGGAAAAACATTGAGGAAGTGAAACATGCCGGCAACCTTTAATATAATAATTATATTTGTATTAAAGGGGTATTCTAGGGTCATATCAAGACACATAGAATAAAAAGATATAATGATAATTTATTTAAGTTTAGCACGATATTTGAATATGACAACAAAAAATGTTTAAGGCGAAAGATAATTGGTATGTATACACAACTTTTTGGTTAAATTACCATAAGGTCAATGATGGATGTCGGTCAATAAAATTTTCTGTTTTTAATTATTTAACATGGTTAACAATGCTCTGAAATAAATATTCTTCTATACGATTATCAATTATTGTATCCACACTTTTTTGGGACAACCATTATAACACACTGATTACTCATGTAAATTCCTATAAAGATTTTATTTTTATATCATGAATGTATACGAGTTATGATCAAAAAATTCTCGGCCCGATGTACATCTAGCCACTACACTGACATTTACACACGATACATCGGTACCGATATCTTATTGAAGATTACCGACCGAGTTACACGCGGTTTTACACAGATTAGTAACATAAAACACACTAAAACACTGAGCATAAGATGAGTGTGTCTTTTAGACCAAATTGAGAAAGTTAAAATCATAGCCGTCATTAAGTACCTCTGTAAGAAAGGGATGTCCCCCAAGGAAATCCATGAAGACTTCATGGATACACTTCGGAAGGGGTCATTTAGACCAAATGGAGAAAGATGAAATCATAGCCGTCATTAAGTTCCTCTGTAAGAAAAGGATGTCCCCCAAGGAAATCCACGAAGAATTTATGGATACACTTGCGAAGCAAACTCCTGTTATCCTATTATCTGTGATATGCAGGCTTCATAACCTCTGATCCCCTTTCAAAATTCCATTTTATTTAGTTCCGTCCATTGTTTTCTCGTTTAGGGCACACGCATTTTTTTTACTTGGGGACCATATGCCGCTTTTCATGGAATAGCACTTAGTGTCACATTGAAGGTTCCATGATAACCGCTGTATGAACACATCTGCGAATGTTTCAAAATTCGAAATTGTACCAATTCATTTTAAATGTTGAATTCTGCTGAAGCCGGTGCTAGGGGGCGTGGACGGTAACTTGCACTTTCCAGTACCGTCCATGAACAGGCTCAATCAAACCGAGCCTGCAACATTTTCAATTATGTTGTGTTGTACTTTCTTTAGGGATTCTTGCTTTCTCTATTTTATCGCCACATCAGCGTTGTTTGTGCCGTGTGGAGGCTGTAAAAAGTCGCCCCGTACATTCAATCAGAGATGTTATATTTCCGATCTTTAAAGATCGTTCAGTACGACATAATTGTTGTGCTTGTGGTAATTTAGTTATTTCTATTTGGCTTTTTTCTTGTTTGGTGGTTCCAGTATTCCTCATTTGAACACTGTTGAATCACCCTAAGGAAATGTGGCCTGCTTTTAAAATTGTCTTTTGACGTATTATCTGTGGTATGCAGGCTTCATAATCTCTGATCCCCTTTCAAAATTCTATTTTATTTAGTTCCGCCCATTGTTTTCTCGTTTAGGGCACACGCATTTTTTTACTTTGGGACCATATGCCGCTTTCCATGGAATGGCACTTTGTGTCACATTGAAGGTTCCATGATAATCGCCATATGAACACATCTGCGGATGTTTCAAAATTCAAAATTGTACCAATTCATTAAATGTTGAATTCTGCTTAAGCCGGTGCTAGGGGCGTGGACGGTAACTTGCACTTTCCAGTACCGTCTATGAACAGGCTCAATCAAACCGAGCAATTATGTTGTGTTGGACTTTCTTTGGGGATTCTTGCTTTCTCTATTCCTTCCTATAGCACTGTGAAACAAGAGCCCGGTTTGAGCCGTGTGATGCTCCCCGAATAGGTTTTGGACACAGAAAGTACACCTCTTGTAGTTTCAGAGTTATGTCCCTGGAAACAGTTCAAAGTGCAATAATTCCAAAATAAGGCGAGGCAGAGTTACTGTTCTTTGCACTGCACTTCTAATAAATGTTATCTATCAACCTACAAAGTTTCTTGATGATATCTCTTATGATTTCCGAGTTATGTCCCGGACAATTTCAAAAAGTAAAAATAAACAAAGGGCAATAACTCCAGAATTAGGCAAGGCAGAGTTATGATTCTTGTGCACTGCACATTTACCCATTGAGATATATCTGCCTACAAAGTTTCATGTTGATATCTCTTATAGTTTTACAGCTTTGTCCTGGACAAGATTTTTCTTAAATGGGAGATAATTAAAAAAATGAGGCTTAACAGAGTTATGGTTCTTTTGCACTGCACCTCTACTCAATGAGATCTATCTACTTACAATGTTTCATTTTGATATCTCTTATAGTTTTAGAGTTATGTTCCGGACAAAGTTCAAAGTGTTAAAATAAACAAAGGACAATAACTCCAAAATTAGGACAAAAAGAGTTATTGTTCTTATGCACTGCACATCTACCCATTGGGATCTATCCACCTACAGAGTTTCATGTTGATATCTCTTACAGTTTTAGAGTTATGCCCCGGACAAGATTTTTCTATAAGGGGAGATAATTCAAAAACCGGGCAAAATAGAGTTATGGTTTTTTAACACTGCACTCCCCCTCAATGCCCTCTATCACCAGATGAAGTTTCAACAAATTATCTCCAAGGGTTTTCAAGTTATGCTCCGGACAAGACAACGGACGGACAGACGAAGGACGTCCATTCTAACAGGAGAGTAATAATGTGGCTACTCTATTGTTCTCTCTATTGTTCGTTTTAGCCACACAAAAGAAAATAGCCACATAAAAGCATTACGGAATGAATGACATCAAAGAGAAAGAACAGTTAGCTATTGTCCCTCTAGCCACATAATTACTCTCCTGTGAGTGCGGACAGACGGAAGGACGGACAGACGGACAAGGCGCCGACTATATTCTCCCCCGACATTTTTCGGGGAGCATAAAAATAGGCTGCTGAAATTAAGAGGGGCAGGGACAGCATTGGAGATGATGAGCGGCCGGGGCTGCCAAAAGAGGCCATCAACGATGAAACTGCCGAAAACGTTCACGATCTGGTCATGTGCGACAGAAGGCGAGACCTGCGAAGCATTGCTAGGGCTTTTGTTTAGTTCAGGCAATTCTGCGTGTTGTCTATGGCATGTCAAAGGTTTCCGCTAGATGGGTCCTCAGACAGTTGACTGACGACCAGAAACGGACCAGGCTTGAGATTTCAAGATATCTTTTGTCTCGCTACGAGGATGATCCTGATTTTATCTACCGGATCGTAACTCAGGATGAAGCACTGGTCCATCACTTCGGTCCAGAATAAAAAATAAACCAGAGCATGCAGTTGAAGCACTCTTGCTCACCCCATCCGAAGAAATTCCAGAGAGTGCCATCAGCAGGTAAGGTGATGGCTTCAATTTTTTGGGAAAGTCAGGGGTAAATCATGATTTACTATCTTGAGAAAGGTCGTACCATAAACGGTACGTACTATCCAGGCTAATTGAGACGACTGCGTCAAGAAATCGCGCGTAAAAGGAGGGGCAAACTGACTCTAGGCGTTCTGCTCTTGCGCGACGATGCGCTAGCTCACACATCCCAAGTTGCGATGACTTATTCAACTGACTGCGGTTTTGAAATTCTCCACCATACCCAATATTCTCCGAACTTGGCTCATGTGACTTCTACCTGTTTCCGAAAGTGAAAACTTAGCTTTGTGTTTTTGGAAACAATGAAGGTGTCATTGAGGCGGTCAATCGGTTTTTTGAGGACCAAAATAGAGAGTTCTATTATAAAGAGTTGACCAATTGCAACACAGGTGGGCAAAGTGCAGTAATGTAGAGAGCGATTATATTGAAAAGTAAGACCATAAGTTGGGTCCTCTGACTACCAAAAAAAAACATCGGACCGAGAACTTTTTGATCAATCCTCGTAAACTTATCAGTATTTCTTTTCGATGCAAATATGTTTTGCTTCAAAACATGTTTTCATATTTCTTTCTTAAATTAGTCATCTGGTTACGATTTTGATGCCAAACAGGAATTTCTTCGCAAACGTTTCCCATTAACATATTTTGTACGCTAATGTAAAGTTATTATAGTAGGTCAGTACCTGAACAACACGATCCACTTCTCCAGGCAGAGCATTGACATCGTCCATTTACGTAAACCCCTTGGTTAAAGCAATAAGTGTTACAACTTTGTTCGGAAGATGAAGGAAATTCTAACCAGGTCGAGCAAGTTCTTGTTTGAGTTCCACCTCCACATGTTACAGTACATGCAGACCAGGCCGAGCATGCATATACAGCTTTAAGTGAAAATTAAACATACAAGTATCGAAAAAGAAGTACATAACTTATATATCTAATTGTCAATTGCTCAATATATAAGAAAAGTTGATCAATTGATCAAGATAAATAATCCTTACCTTGCGCATGTGTTTTCATCAAGATAATAAAGAGTTAAAGTGGAGTATTTAAAACAGAGTGTATTGCATTGTGTTAATTAAATCAAAGGGCTGCAAGCTGTGCGGTATTTTCTGATCTTTGCAATTTAAATCGTACTGTATATCTGTATGTATTTTCTTGTATAAGTTTATTTTTATATACTTTAGTTCATCTTACAGGGCACCGAGATGCAACGACTGCGTTTAGATTTTTTACTTGAACGGTTGGGGTGTCCGTGGCCGAGTGGTTAAGGTCGTTGACTTCAAACCACTTGCCCCTCACCGCTGTGGGTTCGAATCCCGACAGGGACTTTGGATTCTTTCAGGTGAGGAAGCTATCCAGCTAGCTTACGGAACGGAAGGGCACCTGAGGTCTTCCTCCACCTGTAAAGCTGGAACGTCGCGATATGACCTATATCGATGTGACATAAAACCCAATCAAACAAACAAACAAAACTTGAACAGTTTGAGTTTTATACACACGGAATTTTGCATGACTAGAGTTGCATCTAAAAATTAGGTATGTTCATTTTTTTATGGCAGCCACACTTTATCCTTGCATATCGTGGCTACTCCCTTAAAAAGAAAAAAAAGTTGCCTCGACTAGGATTTGAACCCCAGACCTCTCAAACCATAAACGAGCGCGTTACCCCTGAACCACGGGGAATTTATACGAAGAAAGCTTGAATAAATTGAATAATTCTAAGTTTAAAATTTTCGTTTCGGGTTTGTAATCCTTATTAATTTCGAAGAATTTTGTTCACGATAAACCTGTTGTTCAACACTGAGTAAATAATTTAGCGAAAATCTTCTCGCCAAAACAGTCCGACATTTATATATTCGACTACTCGACTGTCAGATTTGTGTACTACGATCTCAGAAAATACAATAAGGATTTCCTTTTAATGTTAAGATATGATAACCGTCATTGGCGCTATAAAGTACTGGAAAATTGACAACATATATAGTCGAGTTGTTTGTCTTTAAGGTCACCTGGAGATACTTTATTATACAGTTCTGGACTTATGTCTCTTTTTCTGAACTAACGCGTAAACATTCTTTAAAAATGTTGATCACAACATAATTTGCAATATCATCCTAAAAATTGTTTTTTTTTTAAATTCATAGGGACGAAACGAATAATAACATTCGTAATAACGAAAATTATGTCAAAGTTTGTAATTTAGCTTAACATGTACAATATAAAAGTATTTTATTGTGTAGTTTTTTTATTATGAGATCTTGTGTATCATAAACATGTATGGTATGTAATTTTAAGATATATCATACCTATACAGATAATGTGATGAGAATTAAACAAACACTATTCCTTTCTTAATGATAGCTAAAAGATACATAAATAATGTTCAAAGAAAACGAAAAAGGAAAAATGTTGATCCCAGTGGGATTTGAACAAACAGCAAAAAGTATCATTGATTTATCACACTTTTTAAAGTGAAGGTAATAAATAAGATGGGGTTTAACTTTACAGTATAATCGGCTTTCTTTCTTTTCAATAAAAATCTTAAAGATAAATCCTTGTTCTGAATCGTATATCCGGAAGATATTATCTTAATATTTTGAATAGGTAATCACGGTCTGTATAAAGAGCACAAAGACTGAGTATCAAACAATGTGTAAGCGCGTAACACTCATTCAGTAACAAAATAACACATATTTAAAATGCAGTACACGTCAGTAATATAATCTTTCTATAATAGATAAATCGTTAGATTTAATAAAAATGATGTGCTTGTGATCATCATATCTCTGTTTTAAAGTTTAATGCACTTGAAAAACACTTAAACAAGTTTATTGTAGAAATTTACGGTGACACAATGGTGACATGTGTGTATTTTTATTTATCTCGTTGCCACGAGATACTATGTCGTTGCCACGAGTTACTAAGTCGTCGCCACGAGATAGCTAAGTCGTGACCACGAGATACTATGTCGTGGCCACGAGTTACTAAGTCGTCGCCACGAGATAGCTAAGTAGTGGCCACGAGATACTATGTCGTTTCCAAGAGTTACTATGTCGTGGCCACGAGATAGCTAAGTCGTGGCCACGTAATACTATGTCGTGGTCACGAGTTACTTAGTCGTGGCCACGAGATTATTAACCAATCAGAATACACTATATATATAATTTTATTATGAATTTTTGAAACGTTTAACTAATTTTACATGCAACATTAATCTTTGAAAATACTGAAGATATTCATTTTGAACTTGTCTTTAGGATCATATAAGAAAGTCACCTTCCAAGGCCCTTCATTCATTAATTTTGACTATACCTATTTGTTTGGACAATTTTTGTGATCGAATTAGTCAGTTTGTACGTACTTATGGCCCTATTAAATCTTGTTTATACGATGACTATGAGAAAGAATAAGTCCTTGGTTTATTTTATTTGTAAGGGGGCATTGCCTGGACAGTAGATAGCCTACAAGGTAAACCTTCTCTGATGAATAATTAGAAGGGATAAGCCATGGTTTATATAACCAAGAAAGATCTTGCATCTGATTCAGTAGATGACATATAATAATTTCCAGGAGGTCATTGGGTCAAAATCATGGGTCACTTAGTGACGCTAATGTAATATTATGACAAGTCAATAAAGTTGTAATAAATGGCACTTTTACAGGCTGGTGAAGTGGGGCAACCTTGTACTATAGCACATGTCTAGTTAATTAGGGAAATTCACATAAATGGTGTAATCTGATTGGTTATCTATCTTGTGGCCACGACTTAGCTATCTCGTTCCCACACGACTGAGTAACTCGTGGCCATAACTGAGTAACTTGTGGCCACGACATAGTATCTCGTGGCCATGACTTAGCTATTTCGTGGCCACGACTTAGCTATCTCGTGGCCACGACTTAGCTATCTCGTGGCCACGACTTAGTAAGTCGTGGCAACGACATAATTTCTCGTGGCCATGACTAAGTAACTCATGGCCACGACATAGTATCTCGTGGCCACGACTTAGTTATCTCTGGCCACGACTTAGTAACTCCTGGCCACGACATAGTATCTCGTGTCCTCGACTTAGCTATCTCGTGGCCAAGACTTAGTAACTCGTGGCCACGACATAGTATCTCGTGGCCACGAGATAAATAAAACAAACACATGTCACCTTTGTGCCACCGTAGAAATTGTTCTTAAACATCGTTTTTGGGAATAATTTAAACAATTAAACAATTTTAACGACTAACAATTAATCAGCGAAAACGGTCGTAATTTTATCAAGTAACTATTAACTTTATAGTGATATGTATAAATGAAGATATTTTTCAAATACTTAGCTGTGTTGGGTCATAAGTAATATGTAGTATGTAATATGTTTTCATTTTTATCTAAAATATACTTTTTCATATTATTTACTGTGAATGCCTTCAAATTTTGTATATCATTTTTCTTTAAAATTTATTTTAAATACCAAATGATACTACAGGCACTATGTTTGATTCACACAAATCATAGAAATAGAAAACACGATAACGATTGCATTTAATCTAAGTTTGACAAATGCTTTTAAGATATAATAATATTTTAGCTAGGTATGATAAATGCTTATATGCTTCTATAAATATATAATAAAACAAACGTATCAGTTATTTCTTACAAAGATCTTATTAACAACCACACCAATATATTTAAAAATATTTCTCTTAAACACAATCAAAACTACAGTTTTCATATTATTCAATCCATATTTAAAACAGCAAGACAACTTGAAACGTTACCTTTAGGGAGACTTATCACAACGCCTAGAAGTAAAAATATCAACGCCATTCCGATCCATGTATACCTCCGACAAAATATAAAATTTATGAATTTACGTGCAACGTCAATTTGTTTACAAGATAATTTACGAATTGATAGTATCGAATCGTTCTTCCTGGTTTAAAATGACACTGCAAGAAGATAAATTTTTACGCATAAAAAGCAGTGTTGTGTAGAAAAGATATATATTTGCAGTAAAATGAATTCTTACAAATAACCTGTATGAAATGTGTATATTTGTTTCATTCAGAGCGAATATCACAGCACAAAATCATTGCTAAACAGCTAAAATTTGAAAACAAAGATCAACAAGGAAAGGCAGGCATTTAATGATGAAGGCATCCACTAACATAACCCAGAAACACTGGACTCTCGGCAAGGAGTTCAGCAGGACACAGAACGAAAACAAAAGAGGGTACAAGGGCAAATTACTGACCTGACGGTGCGCCATTATAAATACATCAAAATAAGAAATAATAAAAACATTTCAAAGAACACAACTAATAAAAAAAGACAATGAAAGGATAAGGATGCAGGAAAAGCGCAACAGGGGTCAAAAACAAGAAGGGTCACAAAAAGTGTCACGACAATTAGCATATAGTCAGACATACATTAGAGGGATATAGAGGGGCACTGCCTAAGATCAGTTAGAAGCATAAGCAGTACTGGGTTTTTAAACCGATTAATGGTTCACTAAACGCAACATATTTCGTTTTAAATGAGTTAGTATAAATAAAATGTATCCCCGCCGAGCGAAATTCTCACAATAGTAAAATTTAAAAAGGGAGAAATAAGTAAACACAGAAATGATCATAAAAGTAAATAAAAAATCAACCCAATGACCATTATAATAATACTCATTGTCTTAAAAGATAACACAGCAGTAAGAATTTTAACTGCTGTATTTAAAGATATACTATGCTCATCTTTGAGTAAATTATTTTAATCAAAGAAATTTGTTAAAACCTATGAAATCCTTACTGAATATGTCTAATTTGAATAATAAAACGAATTTACTATGTATTGGAAGTCACGGTCCTTTCTACAGGACAAGTAAAGTTGGTATTTTCTTAAAAAAACTGCCAGTTTTTTAACGACACTATATATTCATATTGTGACCACTTATAAAGTGTAGAGTTTTAAACATAAAATATCTACTTTGTGTGAAGTCAAAACATGTTTATTTTATATTTACAAAGAGACTGTGTAGCAATAACCAATAATTCCTGATATCAAATTTGAGCATAGTATATCTTTAAGCCTTATGTCTTGTGATATGAAAGAAATATTCAACAAAATGCCAAATAATTTAACAAAGTATGGCTTCATGTGTCTTTAACACAATATACATTATTTCAGGCCTAATATAAAGCCTACTATGTCCCTGTTAGACACTAAACGGTGCTAAATTTTTACAGACCTTCCAGGCAGTTGACTAGAGATGTTGCATTAATGTGGTACACAAATCAGATCTAATGAAATTGTATAACCTATATAAACTAAAAGCATTTTCTGTATATTGCAGGTTACAGCCAACAGAGGAAATGCCATTCCCACGTTTATACATCTGAGATACCCGCAGTTCCATGCTTTTTTTAACTAGCTAAATATTTAAATAGACCGTGAATAATATTAAAATTGCAATTAACTTGAAATAAGAAATACACAGTTTTTCACAGATTTATTCTGATGAAATGTTGAGACATTGACAATATTTTTATTTTGCCTGTAACGTTAGGTTGAACATTTTACTAGGATTTTATTTAATGTGTACTTCTATAAAAGTTTATAAACACTATAATGTCTTACAAAACGCATGTTTTAAAAGCGAGAAGAAGATTTTTATATCTATGTACACGTATATATAGACTCAACTTAATGAATCTGAATCATTAATGGTCGATGATGTTGTCCACATTGAAAGTCACATGAAGATTGGTAATTTCCAACTTCTTAGTTTAAACACATACATTACAAACTGTTCATGTTTTCACTGTAAGATGCTTACTTATATGTCTTTAAATGTAATATAATTTTTACAAATATCTCCTCTCGGCCATCTTTATTTTACTGGCTAAGAGGTTATCTTAGATGCGACCCATCAAGAACTATTATAAGTATATTTATTGACTGTCAAAACATGTCAAACTATGAGGCAACAATAAATAGATATACTAACACAGCACACAATATTTAAAGTAAAACAACATTTTTACTATGCTACTGGTATGATTAAACGTAACTGGTACAATAGATTCCCAGTACATTTAGGTAATTCTACTAATTTCTTTTGGCTAAAGATCAAGTTAAGTATATACACATATACTACAATTCTGGAAAGCGTGATTTAAAGATGGTGAGAATAGATGTTTTTGGCGTGCTTAAACTGATAATTTGTAGTTTGTTTGTTTACTGTATGAAATTTGTTGTTTCGGAACAGACTATTTAAACAGTTTATTAAGCAGCCAAACTTGCATATCATATTCATACGAATAAACAGTTATTTTATTTTAAAAAATGCATTCTGTGTTGTTTTATACTTTAGTTATTCATAATAAACCCTACTTAAAAAAACAAACAAATCTTTACAAATCTATTGTACATGTCAGGAAATGGTAGTCCTGACCATACCACAAGCCTTATTCAGTTAAGAAAAAAGCCTTTATGTTTTGTACATAGTCTGCAAATGGGAGATTCTAGGAAGCAATGAAAGAAACAAAAAACACGAAAAGAACAGGTTTTGACCTTTCTTGACATCTGATGAAATGTTTTAGTTTAACATTTCTCACAACCATGGACCTATATTTTTTCTTGACAAAATATGAAATTAAATGAAATAAACAAACATCACTTCAGTTTATCATTCAAATATATAAATTAATATTCTGTTATAAACTGGAACTCTTTTATTGTGATACAAAACTTAAATTTTCAAGTTCTCGTAAATGTGCGTTTCATGTGCAGGGGCTTTGCGATCATATGATTGTTTCACTGCGCATCTTGGCGGGATCGGCGGTGTTCTTTTAAAGTCGTTACCTGGTGTTGGTCCTTTAAAGCCGTTTTCTGGAGGTGGTATTTTGACGACGATTTCTAGAGGTGGTATTTTTACGTCGTTTTTTGGAGGTGGGATTTTTACGTCGATTTCTAGAGGTGGTATTTTTACGTCGTTTTCTGGAGGTGGGATTTTTACGTCGATTTCTGGAGGTGGTATTTTTACGTCGATTTCTGATGGTCGTATTTTAACGTCGATTTCTGGAGGTGGTATGTTAACGTCGATTTCTGGAGTTGGTATTTTTACGTCATTTTGTGGATGTGGTCTTTTCATGTCAATTTCTGGAGGTGGTCGTTTTCCAACGTCTTTTTCTTGAGGTGGTCTTTTCGCGTTGTTTTCTGCATATGATAAAAAATGTTTTAATAAAGGACGCTTCTAAAATGTAATAATTATCTCAAACTCATGTTCATTGTTTATCGCGGACAAATACATGTTTATAGTACTGAATTACTGAAGCTTTTCATATGAAGACTTAAGTATATTTTCAAAACTGTTTTGACCAATTTACCTCACATACATGTAGAATGTAAAACGTTTAAATTCTTTTAACAAGGGTATATTGACTTTTTGATATCTTCACGGATTTATATTACAAATCCGTGATATCTTCCTTAAGGGATTATGCTTCTATTGGATATTTCGCGTGCCATTTTCAAAAGGAAGAATCTGTGTGTGATATTACGAACAATAAATTTCTTACGGGCAATGTCCTCATAAATATGACTTTCTTCTCGCTTTGGACTTTGGTCTGTACTCCTGAAAAGTAAAGTCTCAGTTGACTCACTAGTCCGCAACATGAGAAAGGTGCTGTACAATGGATATTAATTTAAAATTAAATTTTGACTTCAAGGTAGAGTCTAAAGTAATCATCCTACTGATTGACATTTTTGTTACAAATGTTGTACTGCAGTTTATCTTTGAAACGTTCCAGGGCAAGGCCATGTTAAAGTGACATTTTGCCTATCCAGTTGTAAATGGTCAGTGAACAGGTAAAAAATAAAAACTGATATTTTGCCAAGATTGAGTTCAATTTTATATTTTACTATGAAAAACTAATCAATTATTAACGTGACAAATATAATTTTCTATAAAAATCATGCAGGATGTATCAGAAACGTCCAATTTTTAAAAAGAATAGGCAGTCTTTTTTTATAATTTCGACTGTTTTTATATTGTATCATACACATTTTCCATTATCAATAATTGGTTAATCACCAAAAAGAATACCAAAATATATTAAAAACAAGATAAAAAAGGAAGGGCGGCGTTCAATAAACGAAACCCCCAAACACGACCCAGTAACACTGGACCACCGGCAAGGAGCCCAGCAGGACTCAAATAAAAAAGTTAACTCAACTTGCCAGTAAAACAAATGAACATAATGTCACTATATGTTTATATGTACGTGGTTGAATTCGTTTTCTATGATTATTTTCTTTTTTATGACTTATTAGTACAAATATAATTGGCTATTCTTTATTTATATGGTGAACTTAATTAAGTTATGGGCCCTTTTACATTAATCAAACAAAATATTAATTCCAAGGGACCATGTCCCTCTGTTTAGGGAAAAAAATAGCCCCATGTCCAAAATCATAATGGTTACCTTTCAGTTTTGTCGTTTTCTTTAGGCACTTGTACTGCAATATCAATGTTAAAATTCTATATACAAAAATAATGATGATAATGAAATAATGAAAAAACGAAAGTGACAATTACATTAATATTGTACATAAATGTATCATTACATAAATTTATTTACAGTACAAATATTGAATAATATTGAATACTGAGTACCTGAAATTACACTTGAATACATGGATACATACTTATTTGTTTGTAATCATAGAAAAAAAATTATGGTCTGGCATGACCTTTGAAAATAATATTTTTGCCTTTCATGTTACAAGCTTTATTTATGACTCAATTATTATTACAGGTAATGCTAAAATATGTTTTATAAACAACTAACTAGCTATCATATCGTATGACTCTTCAGTACATATCTCTTT